CTAAGAAGCCGACTGTTGTGGGCCGCAAGCTTCAGGGTTTTGGGCGTCCGAGACCTAAACCCTGCACCCCAAACCCCAAGCCCTAAACCAAACGCCGCGCACGAAGACTTAAGCCGGAAACGCCCAAAGCTAAATGCGAACGATACTCACCCTGCGGTCCCCTTGCAGTCTTTCTTTAATTGTAGTAAAAAAACGTAACATACCAAAAAGCCTTACTCCAACAAATAAAACACCGAAGCGGTAATCAGGCACCCAGCACCTTCATCGTACAAGGCTTTCCTTTGTCTAGCGGGTTCCCAGAAATTGAGCCGAATTCGAGCTTGGAGAGTGGCAGATTTGCTGTTCACCTTTCTCAAAACCCAGATTAGATGCTAAGTTCGTAACGCTGAACCCAAAACCCAAAACCTTTGGTTCGTTGGATATGGCTCAAATTAGGTGGTCTAGGTGAGGGTAGAGGTTTCGATGATGCAATATCTACTAGAACCCTGATTCGTTCCCGAAAGCCCAAAATCCGAAAACAGAAGATCTGGGGGCACTTTTGAGGTATTGAAGCGGAGGTTACAACGGAGGTGACATTCGTGTACAGCCGCACCTTCATTGTCGAGGCATGAGTTTCGAGATTTAGGGCTTTAGGGCTATTGGGTTTAGGGTTTAGGGCTCCAGGGTTTAGGGCTGCACGCTTTAGGGTTTTAGGGTTTAGGCTTGGGGCTCCCAGGGTTAGGATTTCGGATTTTACAGCTATGGTTTTTTGGGTTTAAGCCCTATATAGGGCTTTAGGCCTTTAGGGTTTGGGCTAGGATTGTCGGATTTGTGACTTCAGATCCCGAAGCCCTATCCCGCCAAGCCCTGAAGTCAACAGCTCCAACACTTTCTTCCCCGAGTCCCTAAACCTGGTTGCTTGTAAAGAGGCGAGGGAGCCATGTGGTCCAGGGAGGGTTTAGGTTTAGGGACTTTCATGAACCTTGAACCTTGAACCTTCGATTGTAATGCTCTTTACCGTCACGGTCCTGCACAACGGGATGCCGTGGACGCAACAAAACCAGGGGGCGCCGCTGATGCTTGTTCCAGCTATCAGAATGAACCCCAAGCCACGACATTTAGACCTTGAAACCCTGAACGCTGAGATCGAAACCAGCCCTGAACCGTCATTCCGAAAAAGGCGCCGGTTTTGAAAGAATCTGGCAGTTTCTGCCGGAGCGTTCCTTTGCAGCAATGAGTTTCTCGGTGTGGGCGCCTGAGGCCAAGATAGGTGTCTGAGTAGTCAGTCAGAGTATCGCCTCACTGTCCCTCATCATTGGACCCAATACCCAGTTCTAAGTATAGAAGCCCCTGTATTGCGGCTTTTGGGGTTCACGTTTTAGGGCTCATGCGGTTGTAGTTCGAAACACCGGACGCCCTCTGTCGGGTCTGAATCATTTGTTTCTTGGCAAAACTCTCCCTGTACGTATAGCCCCGAAACCTTATACTAATGCTTCAGCACCCTGCACGGCCTCGCCCTAAGCAACCTTTACTAACCCTTGACCTACATGCAGATACCAGTAGCAGCCCGCAGCACGAGCTCTCATGCTTCAAAGCTGAAACGCCAGCCTGAGATTTCCACGTCCTTGACGTAAGGCTGATTCCTTGGACGCCTACCTGAGCCCCTGCACCGCTAAACCCCACCGCACCTGAATTGGTGAAGCCCTAAACCCTAAAGGCCCATGTGCCGGCTCGGAGCCCTAGGCCCAAAACCCCGAAACCAGAACCCTCAAACTCTCAAGCCCTGAATCCTAAACCCGAAATGCTGATGTTAACCGCACGATAATAACCCTCTCCTTCGATAGAGTTCAGGGCCTGGCAGAGTTGATTCTATCGAGGGGGAGGTCCCAGTGCTACTACGCTCGCCGACTCTCTCCACGACTCTGGGAGGGGGGGGTTATTAAGATGAGGTTTACCCTAAACCCCAAACCCCAAACCCCAAACCCTAAACCCTAAACCCTAAACCCTAAACCCTAAACCCTAAACCCTAAACCCTAAACCCTCACCCAGACCCAAAACCCACAAGGCCACAAGGGGAGCCCAGGTCAGTCAGCCCCCACCTATGACGCGTCTCGAGACCGCTTGCGACGCGATGACCGAGGAAGAGAGTCTAAGAGGCCGGGACTATAAGATTTTGGGCTTCCGGGTGTAGGGTGTAGGGTAGTTTAGGGATGAAAGTTTAGGGTTTAGGGCTTCAGGGTCTAGAGTCTAGGGTTTAGGGCTTAATTTGGGTTTTCGGGTTTGGGCTTAGTGTTTATGGGGCTTATAATTGGATTGAGGGCTTACGGCTTACGTAGCGTTTATAGTAGTGTCCCTTACGCTCAACTTCTCTGGCAGTCCGGGTGAGGAGTTTCAGTCTCGGGGTGCTAAGTTCAGGTGGCTTTGTGACTCGCATTCGAGAGTCCCCCGACCTAAACCATCTTAATGTAGGGGCCTTAATAATTCCTATACTATTTATTGGGGGCTCCTCCTTATTATAACTATAGCATAATGGCCCCCAAAACCCTATTCTGATTATTACGGCCGCTATATTCTTCGGGTTTAGGGCAGAGGGTTTGGGATCCTTCGCCCTGTGTAGAAAACCCGACCTCCTCGACCCATAACATCTCCGACTGCAGGGGCCGTAATAGACAGAAAGGGGTTGTAGGGGTTTAGGGTTTAGGGATAGGACCACAAGGGCACATAGTTATCCATTGTTGCAGCACCCGTGCTAGAAACCTCAAGTCCATAGTGAAGAGCCTCAATCCCGGCAGCCTCCACCAGTCAGAGCCCTATTCCTTAAATCCTCGTAGACCCCAGACAGTGGAATCCTCATATCAGGGACCCCTGTCAAGCTTTCGATATTACGGAAACATCAGACATCGCCACTCCCTAAATCCCCAGCCCCAGCCATTCGGGCTGGGGTTCTTCAGTCATGGACCAATCAGCTCTTATACAGGGGCCTGAACCGTCGGAAGCTTTATTCCTTGGAGTTCCAAAAGCTTGTTACTTGTTCTATGCCGTGAGGCCCCTATTTTACGCATCCGTATTCTGCGGGATTGTTGTGAAGCGTGAGGTTTAGGGTCCAAGTTTCAATAGTCTGGGGTCAGGGCGTACTGTCAAAGCTTAGAGTGCGTGTTTTGGTTAGGGCTTTCGAGTGTTTGCTGGAGCGCGGGAGAGATGCGACTGTGTTCATTTCGTTTGTTCTCTCGGTCTTTCTCTCTCTCAATACCCATAGTCTGAGTCTTTCCGTCCAAATATGTTGGACAGCCCGAACGCAAAAAAGGCTCTGCGTGAATTCGGAAGCACGGGCCTGACACACGCAAATCCTTAAGCCACGCAGCCCCAACTCCAGAACCCCGAAATTCGGGCATAGACCCTTACCCTCGAACCACAAACCCGCAAACTGAAGACCTGAAACTTAGAAACCCAAACTCGAAACCCCTCAATCGTGACCTAAGCCTAAAGCCCTGAATTCTCAAGCCCTAAAGTCCTCAGAGCATTAGCATAGCCGACGGGTCCCAGTACTCCCTAAAACCTAGACCCTGACTTCCTGAAATCCCGTGTCAGCGGTGGTTCTGGAGCCATCGGGTTCGATTTCTGGGCCTCCAGGGGCTCGGATTTGTATGCTGGAGTGATTTAGGATTTATGGTCTCTGGCAGCTTATGGCTGGGAGGGTCTAGGTCTAGGACTTAAGGATTTAGGGTTTAGGGTGTACGGGGTCTGGTCCTTACATCTGTTGAAGATTTAGGGGCTTAGGGTTTTGGTGTCGGATGCAGGCTACGTGCGTTCGCTGGGTAACTCCAGCATGCCCAGCATCTGTATCTCGGCCCTTGAGTGTGTTTAACCTAACCTCAACCCTAAACCCTCGTGACCCTGAACTGTGCACCTTGCGGGTTTTGGCGTAAGGGCTTCAGGCTTGGGGCCGATACCGCCTTTGCTGTTTCAGGCTCTGAGATCAGTATTGAGGCCGCCGGACGTTGAGGTTTGGGTTTAGGGTTCCCGAAGGGTTCCGGGTTTAGGCTTTAACACCCTTGAAAAAGCCGCCCTAAAGCTTAAATCCGAGACTCTCTCGTGTGCTGCGTGCACGAATCCCAAAACACCCGCCATCTTTTTCCAAGCCATGCCCGACATACTTCAGGGTTCACGGTTTGGGTTCACGGTAGCTGGACAAAACGTACGTAGCTTGCCGAAGTTGGCACCACAGGCGGCTGCAGCTGCTGCTGCTGCCTCTGCTGGTCATGATGGTGATGATGGCGATGCTGAGGATGATGTTGAGCATGAGGAGAAGCAGAGAAACAACACACGCCGGAACATACGCCGCATCCTCAATGGACGCAATCAGAACAGCGACGACAACCACAACAACGACTGTAACAACTGTATGAAAACATCGTCGACATCATCGCAACCAGCTCAAGCACAGCAGCAGCAAGCAAGACCATACCCGTGTTCCTAGCAATGGTTCATAATATTCATAATACTCAAGGACGTGGTACACAACATGCAGCAGAAGTGAGAAGCACACATCAAGCTAAAGAAGAAGTATTGCTTTCAGCGTCAAACCAGTTCCGAAGATGGTCATAGCGGTGATGATATTACTGCTGGTAATTGATGGGCACAGCAATGGCTACGACCGGGAAGGACGACGACTACTTACGACCTTTACCGTGAGTGGGGTTGACACCAACAGATTGAAGGTGATGCTAGAATGTTTTATCATCTTCGCGAATGATAACAGTGATGATGATCAGGTTTGCTTCTGATCCTTCCGGGTGTAGCAGCCAATCTCCGACCTGTTCGCTTATCCGGCCTTTCAGCCAGGTTTCAGCCAGGTTTGCACCTACATAATTTTGGTGTTTGAAAATCCGAACCGAAACAACCAAAAATAACACTGTCTTGACACTGCATGAGTCCATGTGCAAGAACTGTCCATCAATGGTTCAGCTGTGGGAGCACCAGGAATGAGACTGGTAGTGATGCAAACCAGTAGCGCGAGTGTGTCACACTGCTTGTAGACAATGTAGAAATGACCACAACGCAACGAGCGATCCAAACGGCAGCAGCAGTGCTGATAGGAAGGCTACCGCCGGTGAACCTTGTTGCAAGTTGCAAAACGAATACTGTTTCGTCCTGTTCAAGCGTTCTTGTTTGGAAGGTCCCACTGATGCTGGGGCAGCCCTCACTGCACCACGCAGACGCAAAGCCGCCCGGTTGAGCAAAGCTTTCGGGGTGGATGTTCTGCAAAGCTCAGAACCTAAGCCCTAAAATGCTGGCGGTCAGGTTTATGCAGAAGTCTTACTTGAGGTTTACCATGGTTTAGTGGTACAGGGCGCGCCGCCCTGAGCTGCTCCTTGTAAAACTAAGCATACCCTGTCACCCCAAACCCCGGAGTGTAACTCCGTAGCCTTTTCGTAAAGCCTGACCATTTTTTCTCGCCCGCCACCAACGAAACCGGGGGCTGGAAGGGCCTGGCAACAGGCCAAAAAGTTCAATTTGGGAAGGGCCTGGCAAAAGGCAAGCAAAAAAGCCCATTCTGGGTGTTTGAGCAGGGGCCTGGCATAAGGCCACCTTTCGTCTGTCAGCTGCCTCCCTCATCCTTCCTCCAGTCCAGGTGGAATTCAGACGCCATTCTCAGATGCTGATCTTGTATTCCTGCTGGCCGGAAGGAATTTGAGCCCATTGATCGTCGTCCACTGAGTGGCCCCGTTCGAAGACAGTGGTTGTCAATGGATCCAACCCCGATAAGGACGGCCCAGTGGGTGGGCTTTCCGTCCAAGCTTCCAGGAAATAACCAACCGATCAGATCGACGTGGTAATACAAGCAATCAGAAAACATGGTGCCCATCGGAAGAGTTTTCCCATAGATCGTTTCCACGAAGATGCCTGTGGGCTACCCCGACCAGTGTCGAGCCTGCCAAACGTCGCATCTTGGACCTAACGAGGCTGTCTGGTGGCCAGCGAGAAGATCTCCAGCATTGTTCCGGTGGGTTTCCCATCCACGGCCATGAATAAAGTCCAACTCGGAACTCGAGATCGTCGGGGTCTCGCGCACCAAAAAAAGGCTTGAGCGACATGAGTGCTCCGGGCTTTCTCCAGTGCTGTCGTAGTCGGTGTTGTTCGCGTATGCGGAAGGAGCCGAGCGCTTACCACCGCGAGAGAGGCTCCCCAGATTCGGAATGAGTGCGGAGTATTTTGTTTTGCTGGTAAAGACGTGAATAGGACTGTCTCAGCTAAGCCAAAACGATGAAGAAGAGGACTCGGCATTGTATCAATTGAAAAGTCCCCGATCTCTTCTTCGTCCACACCAGCCGCCAGGAAGTAATGAAGCATAGCATCCATCAACTCTTCCCTGCTTGCTGGCTTGCCGCTCTGGTCCCACTCCTTGACTCTGTCCAAGAGTGACTCCTGGACTTCGAGAGTGGAAGCTCTGATATCCGAGGCCTTCTCCGTCCCCCGCAGATGTCCACCAGATACTTTCGCCTGACCTCCGTGTTGTCGACATTCTTCTGAATATAGGCTTAGACATCGGACCCATAAGCATCGGAAGCGACACCTGACAAGAAGGGCGAAGTCGTCCCTGACATACTGGATCACGCAGTATACATCCTTTGCATTGAGGAAAACATTGTACGCCGCGAGCTTCTCTGCGTAGTCCGGGTCGTCGACCTTGGGCTTCCTGTCTCTTGGGTCTTCCTCTTCCGGACGCCTGAACCCAAGTTCCGAGACACTTGGAGCAAACTCTGACTTCTGAGCTCTGGTCAATTCATCGAGCATTCAGCTAGCCCATCCGGATGACTGTTCCTGAATTTCTCGTGAGGAGACAGGTAACCGCCGGTATGTTTGTTGGGTTTCTGGATGAACTCGACAAGGTAATTGTCCTGTAGCTTTCCGATGTCAAACGCTTTCAGGAAGAAATGCAAGCCATAGCCAGACAGTGGATGCATCATCCAATTCGCACACTCGTAATTCCCTCCGAGAAGTTTCGGTGTCGACTCTGGCAGGCTGCTCTAAGGTGTAATCTTGACCAGAGGGTCGTCATGGGCCGGAAACATCTTGTGGCCTTGGCTGTCGACACGACACAGGAGACCATAGCTGAAGAGGTGCCATGGATTCGCCCTGGCCTTCCGCAGGACTTCGTTGAGCTCTTCTTCCTGCTGGGCTTTGTGTGCGTCTACCCCTCCATGGGCTGTGTCGCCGGGCTCGTAGGCGTACCTGGTAAAGCCCTGTGATTCAATGCTCTGGCGAGCCTTCGCCTCTTGCACTCATTTTCACGAACGAGCTGACGAAGGGTCCCTGTCTTGGCGCCGGCTTTGGCTTGGCTTCTGAACTGCTACCTGGTATCTCTCCCTGAGGAGAGCCTCCAGGCGCAGAGGCAGAACCTCATGTGAGGAGCCTACCCCTGCTTCGTCTTGCTTCTTCTCGTAGCGCAAGCCGCCGGATCCTGCTCATGAGGAGGACGGTAATGGCCCAATCTTCGCATGATCAAGGAATATTTCGGTACAGATTCGAGGGGGATGCGCTGCCATTCACAAAATTAGAGAGCTCGGGGTTTGGCGTTCATGGTTTCAGACCGCGTCGGGCCCCAATATACACTCTGAGTAGTCGACTCCTTACTGCAGCATCATGGATCCCCCCAGCCCTCTTCTCAAGAACAACAAGGAATCTCTAAGAACAAGTTCTGCAAAATAGGAAACCCAGAAAACACCAAAAACAACTCTACGAGACCCTATGCAACCCCAGTATACAGCTTGGTAGATGCCTACAAAGCCCCCAGATCTAGCTCAGGTTTGTTGAAATACCCACGCCGGGTGCCCTAAACTCGTAGTAAAGATGCCATGAGCCCGGGCCCGAATTAAATCCTGAACCCCAGAAGGCTACGGCTACGCCTTAAACTTTGAAATGCAAACACAAAACCGTAAAGTGCAAGGCCTAATACTTCCAACCTTAAACCTTAAACTCCAGAAGAAAACCATAAACCCGTAAAGTGCACGCTTCAAGATGCCCCTTTTTTGGCAGGCGACCCGTTCTCATGTTCTGTACGACAGGGTTTATCCGTGCTGGGGTTTGGGTTTAGGATTCAGGGTCTGGGCAGTTTGGGTCTGGAACAGGTTGCGGCTTCAGGTTTGAGAGTTTGCAGAGGGTGGGATAGTGTCGGAGCGTATGCAAGTTTGCTTCCTCGTGCTTCTGGCGATCGAAACTTGGGCCCATGCCTCTCACAGGCCCGCATCTGGGATGATGAACTGTTGGCCCGTTCCCGCACACCAACAATTTGTTCGGCACGACTAAGCCCCAGACTTTGTTTGCACCAAGAAATCCGAGTCCCGCGCCCTTAAACCTTACCGTTAGAAAATCCTCAAGCCCCAATCATGACCCCTTAGCCTTAGCCCACAGACCCTGAAATTAAGCCCTGCCTTTAAACGTTGAAGCCGAACCCGTAGCTTAGCTAGGAGAATTGCGGCAGCAGAGGGCACCCAGACCTTTGCATCTCGCCGGAGCGGGTAGAATTGGGATTTCGGTTGGAGAGTCTCTCTCGGTTGCGGGGGGAGCGTTTCCTGATGGGGTCTCTTCTAGCTATATAGCTAAACCACCAAAGTATACAAACCTTTCTCAGGCTTGCCCAACGGACTGGTATGAAAGCCTGCCTTCACAGTCTGTGGCTTCGGGTCCGGGTCGATGGTGCGCTTGCTGGGATAGAGGTGGTTGCGGCTTCAGATGTCAATGCTGCCTTTTCAAAGGCAGGTCTTGGCCTGTTGGAGGTGATTGTGGGTTTGCGGGCTGCTGGAGGATTTCTGCAGTTTACACGTGATCATCGAGCTGAAACCATGACACCATGCAATGTCCCAAACCCTGTAAGCCATTTTCTTGTTTCTGTTGAGTGTGGTGCGGGATCGCGTCGCAGGATTAGAGTTCAGGGCTTGGGGCAGCTACTGCACAGCTGGAAGATGTGTGGGCCACCTTTCAAGGGTCGTGGCTTGCATTTCTGCGAAGCTCGTTGTCGCTGTCATTGCCATTTAGTAGTAGCAGGAGCAGGACCAGAATGCGCAGGAGAACAGACGCAAAAGGCCCCCGCATCATCCGTCCTCTGCTGTTACAAGATGCCGGAGAAGCTGTAGATCGTTGTAGTCGTTGTCTTCTTTGGCGCCGCTGTCGTCGTCCTCTCGTCGTACTTGATTGCCGTTGGTGTCACTCGTGGCAAGGAACGTGGTCGTAGTACTGGTTGTAGTCGACGCGCTTTGGAATTTGCAGAGGTCGTCGCAGCAGAAGCGCCAGTAGCAGTAGTTCAACAGTCGTCGTCGCCGTCTTAGTCGTACTCGTGACCGGACTCGTTGTCGTGGTTGCTTTGGCCGTCGTCGTGGTAGTCGCAGTCTTGTCTAAATGCCGTATCCATAGAAGTCGTGGACTTCGTAATCGTCGTAGTTGTCGTCGCATTTGCTGTATTCGTCGTAGTCGTCGTGCGTGGTTGTCGCAGTCCCAGTCTTAGTGCTAGTCGCAGTCGTAGCTGTAGACATAGCAGTAGCGGTTGTTTGGCCTTAGTCGTAGTCGTAGCCATAGCCGTAGTCATAGTCGTAGTCGTATTGTTTGTAGCAATAGTCGTCGTAGTCCTCATGGCAGTCCTGGTAGCGCGGTGGTGGTAATAGTAATAGTTGTAGTGTAGCAGCATTAGTAGTGGTGGCGGTAGTAGCATTACTACTTAGTATGCGAGAGCGGTACTGCAGTAGTGGTCGTGGTCGTGGTCGTGGTCGTCGTTCGTGGTCGTACTGGTGCAGGTGCTGGTCTTAGTCGTAGTCGTAGTCGTAGTGGTGGCAGTGGCCGTGGCCGTAGCCGCGGGAGTGGGAGTTGGTGGTGGTAGTAGTAGTAGTAGTAGTAGTAGTAGTAGTAGCAGAAGTAGCAGCAACAGCAATAGTAGTAGTAGAAGAAGTAGTAGTAGAAGTTGTAGCAGTAGTAGTAGCAGTAAAAGCAGTAAGAGTAGGAGCAAGAGTAAGAGTAAGAGTAAGAGCAAGAGCAAGAGCAAGAGTAAGGTTAAGAGTAAGAGCAACAGCAAGAGCAATATCGCGAGCAAGATTACGAGTAAGAGTAGGAGTACGAGTAAGGGTCAGAGCAAGAACACCAGTAAGAGTAAGACTTAGAGTGATAGACAGAGTAGTAGTAGTAGTAGTAG